AAACTGGTACGGCTGCCTCCGAACTGTTCTTCAATGTTACAGCCAATGGATCAGGGCGTGATTTGGTCTTTCAAATGTTCGTTTCGGAAACATTAACTGGAATATGTTTTGTCTTTGATCAAAGATGAGCAACGTATCATGAAAGCCGAGGTGGACCTGGTGCTTGCCCAGCTAACCCGAGCTAGAAACTACACCTGGTCCATAACCGTGGGTCTTCGGAGGGCCCAAAGAACTTTGACAGCGCAACAGAAGTGTTATCAGCACACGTATGGACTGAACGTGACAACAAGATCATCACAAAAAATAGAAAACAATGTGAAACGATGGAGTAATCGGACTATCGTACTATCCACATAGCAACATGACATCTTAAATTGAAAAAAGTATGGATTATGAATCACATTAAGGTCATGACGAATGCATCAATCGGTTTGAACATACATTGGTAACAACAGAAGCGAACGAACGAATAGATGTCTACAGACATTAATGATTCACGTTTTTCAATAGAAAATCATGAATAGATTGCACAGCGAACAATCAGTATGAATATGGGAAGGAAGTCAATGTTCTGAATATACCCCGTAACAGATATTTCACTCATTTTAGATGTTATTTCCTTCTCACTGTATTCGAAATGGTTCACCTTCATTTTCCTTGGATGGGTTAAAAATGATGTGATTATTATAGCTTAAACAGGTTCATATTACGGTGGACGTCATATAATCAATTCTGTGGTTAGCCTAACGATGCAACGGAATGGATGAATATGTGGAATTAATATGGGATAATTGGGTCAGAAAAAGTTCCCCTGAAGAAAGGTAGGTAGATTCGGGATAACTAAACACATACAAATGAAAACGTCTGAATACCGGATGCAATGTACCGATAATAGGCTGAGGGCGTCATTAAATATTTCAATTTCTGCGATACACACAGGATACGCAGGACGGTAGAATTGAATTCCGTTATAAATAAATGACTTATAATCATAACTATTGGGAACAACTAACGGGATTAACCTACTTTTCATCGATCCGGTTTATTTTGTCACAAAACTGTCAACAGATGTTTCTACTAATTATTAGCACCTACTACTGTTTACCCCCTTATGTCGCAGTTCCTGAAATTTACCAACTTTTTCCAATTCCCGAGAGGTGGGAAATAGCAAGAGATTGACTGCATATAGCACCCATCTTAACAGAGGCGGCGCCAAAATAACTATGGGTGAACGAAAAATAAGGGAACATAAGCGGGGAAAACAAAAACAGTCAACTTGCGGGTAACAATTTTTTTGTTTCTTTACTGGAAGGTGTAAATCGGTAATCATACCGATTTACAAGAAAGGTGATAGATCCTCTTGTGAAAATCATAGAGGAATTCGTCTAATCAACATCGTCTCTAAACTTCTCGCCGGCATCATACTACGCCGATTGTCTGCCGCATGTGAACAATCCACGCGTGAGAACCAGGCTGGTTTTAGATCCGGTCGAGGTTGTATTGACCACATCTTCACTGTCCGCCAAATTCTGGAGCATCGACATTCTTTTCGTAGATCCACCACCTCTGTCTTCCTAGATCTGAAAGCGGCTTTCG